TTTCCGGAAGATAAGAACATAGAGAGAAGAAAGTTACGGTTTGATATGTCTGTCTAAAGCAGATGTGAAAGAACTAATCATAGGCTCACTGGTGGCTACTTTCAGCCGTAAAAGTCTGAAAAGTCAAATTTTGGAAAGGTCCTATTTCACGAAGAAATGATGTTTGGCATCATGTATTGCACTCTAAGTAACCGACTTCCGGCATTATTTACCCTTTACTGCCCCAACCATCCAGAATTGAGCCAGTTTCTGACCAACTTTGTTTCTCCGTGGACAGATTTGGCTCAAATGTTGTCTCCTGGGGTATTCACCTCTTGAATACGAATATGACATTCGCTTAGTCCGAAACCTCTTTTCCTGCGGTACACGCACCGTTGATCTGGGGTATTTTGGCGCCAGCATCTATAGTGCAGGCGGCAGGAGGTTTCAGGCTGAGCGGATGTGATATTCGTGTTCAGCGAGTCACACTACCCCCCTGAGGATCAGAGTTTCAGGCGAATTTGTATTTGAGGCGTCACACTGCGAAGATAATCGTAGTTCACGCCGATGAATTCCACATAAATCCCTCTCTTTACCACGAAGTTTTCCAACATGCCCCCATACAGAAAATGTGGTAATTACCAATACCAATTCGCATGCCAACACCAAACTCTAGCTTGAAAAACAATTTTTTTTCGTCAATTTTTTCAAAAATGGTCGTTCTGACAACGAAGCAAAAATATAGTTCCACCAAACAAATCGAATATTCCAACAACAAGTGCACAATAAAATGAGTAAATTTTGATCCAGTAATGGCCGACTGCCCCAATGATTAACTCCCTAAGCTCACGGACCTTGTGGAATTGTGCATTACTCTCATGGATCATACGCACCATGAAGCCCCTCATATCCTCGATTGGGTTTTAGTCGGGGCTACTCGCTGGCTAGCGGCAAAAGAGCGGTTTGGTGGCAACTGAATCACGTTCGAGTGTTTCGACTGTCATGAACTGGTGCATTATCCTGCATGAAAACGGGACTTTATTGCTGATTTCTACACCAGAAAGTAAGGAGACGTTTCGCATGACTTTGAGATGAACGGAAGGAATCTCTTTCTTCATGACGGGCGCAGTTCCAGGACGCTCCATGTCATGCAGAGGCCCAGTTCAGACCCATGAACCACATCCACTGAAGTTCCGCCTGGAAAAATGAAACTTGTCTTCCCTCGCGTCGTGCCAGCGGAATCGGTTCTCGTCGAAGCCGTCGTAGTTGAATTTTTTCTCGTCACAAAACAATGATGTAAAAAAAACTGAAAAAACGACAACAGGCAAGCCAGTAAGGGCACCGCAAGCCAAAAGCTAACCCCAACTTCATTGGGTTCGGCAACATCTTCGAGCAAAGCCAATTAGGTTTTCGCGATGGTTTTTCGTTAGAAACAGTACGTAACTCATATCCCTCCTATGGGTGAACTCGGGAGTTTTTCAAGAGACGCCTGACAGTATTCTCCGAGACGTTGACCCAACAGTCGACCCCGGCCTTTGCAATGGGAATGTACACATGTGGACGTGTCTTGAGCCGCTGAATCCAAATCTACCCTCCGTTTTTGCGGAACGATTCTCTGAACGGAGTTATGGGGCTTTTTCCACCGCATTTACCACGCAACGGGTCGTGGGATCGAATCCCTGCTGCCTGCAATCTTTTTTTGCTTCCTGCGCAAACGTGGCAAAATGTGGTTTTGCTTTCACTACTACTTCAGTGCTCACCTAATCTTGCCTGAAGAAAACTTTGCGTCCATTTATGAATGCGCCTAGGCACCTTGTAGAAGCCTTGTAGTGCAGGAAAATATTGGGGTGCACAGGTGCCCGTCGTGCGCGATACAGGCGTTTTCACGCTCAGCGAGTGCCATATTCGTCTTCAGCGGGTCAAAATACCTTTATACACAAGTTGCTAGCCAAATCTGGCATTTTGACCTGATTTCCATAATTGAACCATCCATGGGTTAGTTCAGCTGATGTTCACACCTATTCAGCTGCAGATACATTTGCCTGCACAACGCCTTGTCTTGCACCTTCTTACGCATTCATTTTGTTACTGCTCCAGTTTTCCTGGTATATAGAAGAAAATTCCGGCCAAAGACAGGCAATCGACAAGAGACTGGCCCTGGAACTAGTGGTGACCACCATCGGATCAACTGCTACCGGACTTTTGAAGATAGGTCAAGACCTCATATCTGGCTAGAAACCTGCCCAAAGGGTAATTTTACTCCCTGAACACGAATAAGGCACCCATTTGACGTTTTGCATTCTAGACTTAAAAGAGACATTCCCCACAGAATTTAAATGCAACTCCGTTCAGAGAATCGTTCTGCAAATTTCGAAGGCAGATTCGAGATCAGCGTCCAAAACCACGTCTAGTGAACTATATTTCATTACGAATGGCCACTTGGACCTGACGACCTTCCCTAGTAGTAGTGGCGACCTTCTCCATTCCTCGATGCGAGCTCTAGAAACGGTCATTCTCATTGGAGTTCTCATTCAAGTTTTCAGAAGGTGTAACAGATGGAGCAATGATCGCTTCTATTGTCAAATAATCAGAGATTCAAGTCAACTGGCCAAACAGAAGTGTTCTGGGGACTCGTATGGAATGTTCTGAACAAAAGCAAAAATGTTCGGAGTGTCAAGGATTCCAACATGCGACATCGTGTTCCTGAATCAGTGCACTTATCCACTAGGCCATCGGCGACCTGCCGTGAGCAACCATCCCTCTCAACTTATACAACGAGCAAAGATTTGATGGTCCGTAACTCCGTTCAGAGAATCGTTCCGCAAAAACGGAGAGTAGATTTGGATTCAGCGGCTCGAGATACGTCCATATACCTACTTCTCATTGCAAATGGCCGGATCGACCTGTTGGGAGTTCCCTTTGTGAGACATTAACCTTCAAAAGAACATGTCTTGATTTCCCCGACACGAAACTGGCAGAGTTAAATGCTTTCACAAGGTACACGGCGGTTTATCCGATCGGCAGTCATTAATGAAGTTCCACTTGCCATAGCCTAGAAGAGGCAAGAAGTCATAATGATGAGAAGTTTCACCGAACAAAAATGAGATGCAGCCGGAAAATATGGGGTGGAACTATATTTTTGCTTCGTTGTCAGAACGACCATTTTTGAAAAAATTGACGAAAAAATTGTTTTTCAAGCTAGAGTTTGGTGTTGGCATGCGAATTGGTATTGGTAATTACCACATTTTCTGTATGGGGGCATTTTTGAAAACGTCGTGTAAGACGGGATTTTGTGAGATTCATGGGTGGAACTATGATTATGCTTCGCAGTGTAGTTTGGCGCGGGCGCCAGCAGGTTTCGTGCCTAATAATGGATGTGATATTCATGTCCAGGGTCAATCTACCCCAGGGTATAAATTTTCTGCCAATTCTGCCAAAGCAGAAAAAAGTCGGTCATAATTAGGCCTGTTTATCGGTAAGATTGGGCACTGACGGTAAAAGTAGTCCCTGAAATTCCTTGAAAATTTATACTAGTGATTTTGAGCTGCTTACTAAATTGGAGACCGGCACTTAGGCCAGAGAATACTCTGGGTGTTTTTCCTGACTGTCTTGAAAATAAATTGTTTGGTGCGAGTCGATGTTCCATGGATGTCGCCTGCTCTGAATTGGAACTTTGAAAATGCAAAGTATCTGATCGATTAGAATCGACTACTGAAGCTAGACGATTCTCACCGATCAGATATTGTTCTGTTTTCGACATACAGAAATATCAGTGGTTTATACTGCCCTCCACCAAAAGGATTTGTAAAGGCTGGAATAACTACAGAATTAAGAGGGGTCTGAAAAATTGACGAAGGAAGTACATCGGTAAGGATTGATATTTCAAGCGCTGTCGGTTTTGTCGGTGACTCATCACTGGGGAAGCCCTTAGCATGAATCCTTTCTCAGGTCAACCGGATCACAAAGCATCAAGGGTTTCAGTGTTATATGACCCAGAGTCGCCTAAAGTTTAATCAAGCTCGCACATATTGTCAGCTACCATTTATGGCTAAATTATCTTGTAGTTTGAGTAAACCTCCTCTGCTTCCCTGTGTTCCACCACGTTTTTTTATTTCTTGCTGATGCTCCTGAACAGTACTGTATTGAGACATGAGACATTGCCAAGAAAACTGATGCTCTCACTAGAATTTGTTTTGCTTTTAAACATTCGGTAGGGCTAGAAATCAAGGCTTTTGCATCGGCAAATTGGCGAGAGCACCACGCAGTTCTCAAGTGTTCAAAGGATTCTGAGTGAATTTCACACCATCGACTGTCTTGTTCTAACCTTTGGCACGGCGCATGGATTCTAAAAGTCGCTTCAGAAAGCCTGCAAGGTCTTGCTATCGATTTATAGAAAGTGTTGTCTTTTGATCATAAAGAGCTTTTTGAACTCCTGTTGAGCTTTTTGACCATGAAGATAAACTATGCTGAATAAAAATGTCCTACGCATGTTTAGTTCTTCATAAAGTGGTACTGGCATAATAGGCCGAAATTTGTTATGTGACGTTCAGGAAGAGTCTTAGTAAAGCGTCTCGTCTTGGTTCTTTTCCCCAAATAGATTCTCTATATGTATTTTCTATTATCGAAACGACTTACATCGTTTCTGGACCAACAGGTTTTTCATTATCTTATTGCAGAGGCTAATATTGATGATTGTTAAACTTTAGATTTCCCGACGTCATCAAGAGCAGCAGATCCGTCAACCAATGCGCCTCGAACTTCGGCTAATGTTACTCCTCCTATATCCTCCTCGGCAACGGATGATCCTTTAGCTGGTGCTTTATTGGGCTTCTAGCTGGTAGTAAGCATGATCAAGTCTTCGATTATTTGTAGTTGAGTAACTCCTTATCACTTAGTCCTAGCTTCATAACTAAAATAAGCGAGATCATAGTACCCTGTCCTTACTTGGTCTGTTAAACAGTTCACTTTGTAACTAAAATTACCTCAGTGTCACGACAAAACTCGCCATTGCTCATCCTTGTATGGTGCTTCGACGACAGTGTCAGGTTCATCAGCATGCTCGAAGTCTGCACCTAACTCCCTTTACTCTTGTACCTGTGGTGTGCAATATGGTCACAAATGAGGTAACTTTATTTTTAGCATTTCGACTGACAATAAGTAAGAATCATGAATATTAAGAGACGTAATGGGGTATAATTAGGATTTTAGAAGCTGTTGGGCTTAGAGAGCGGCATTTTGAACTTTCCAGGTCCCTATTGCTTGAAGGTATTAGCTAACAGGTTGACACTGGAAGTTGCGTAATGATTCGCGTGAGCCGGTTTAGTTGCGGGTGTTTGCAGGTCTTCTCAGGCTGGCTTGTATGAGCCAAAGCTAGCCAATTTGACCATTTGGCGCCCCCACCAAAGCGAACTGCGCAGAATTTTGTTACTTCTATTGCACTCTGACAAAGACTTAACATCGAACTCCAGTTTCGTTAACATAGCTGAGTTGTGAAGCTCTAATCGGATTTTTCAGGGTATCTTAACATTCTGGAAGGGTGCAATCGGGTCGTGCGTGGTTTGGGGGCTTTCGAACGTGACGGAAATTGTCCTAGCGGATCTTCTTGGCTTACCGAGGTAAGTTTTCGTTCAGATCAGGATCAGAACAAGATGTCATGGACTCTTCACTCGCGATATTTTACACTTTCTATTTAGACATATTGTTCCCAACGGCAGTACCGAAAAGTATTGGAGACATATTTTATTGAAGGCGTACGTTAGCTCTAATTGGATTTAGAGGAAAAATAAGTCTTATGATAGGTAATGGTAGTGTTCAGAAGCACATTCTTCGCAATGACTCCATTCTTCATCTCTGCTTTCACAGAAACAGTCAGAGTGAGTATTGTAAAAATTCTCTGGTATCTTCTTTCTCCCAGCTGACGTAGTTGTTTTAGAGTGAGGCAGGCCTTGGTGGTGAAGGCCCTAATGTAATGGAGGTGCTCTTCAAGGGAGTCGATAGACTAAGGTGAGCTTTCAAAAAACACCATTCTTATGCTCTTTTTTCTGCCGGCAAATGTGGCGTTCATTTTAACACGTTCTTTATGAGTGCTAAAGTTGATCGGTGCAGCTGGATGGATCGCTTAGTTGCACAGTCGCCCACACTGAATTGAATAAATTAAATTTTGAAAATTTGAGAGATATTCCTGTACTGGTATCGAAATATTTGGAGGTTCAGGTTCCCAATTTTTGGCTCTCGTGATCCGTCTCGTCGATTTTCTGTATTGCATCTGGCAGTACCAACGGTGGCTTACCATACCACCCACTACATTATACAATCGAAGCTGCATTACCAGTTCTTTAAAATGGCTCGGAAATACGTGGTGCGTTGGGAGTAGCTCAGCATACGTGCTATGTTTGATTTCCATGAGAATTTCTTTTCAGAACAAGAAACCCGAATCTGAACGAACTAAGTTCCATCAGTATGTGCCCCAAATATTTGCCCAAATGTCTTCAACTATCTTAACCGATCTTATTCTCTTTCCATTTGAAACAATAATGCACAGGGATGTATATCAAGGTAGTGGCAATTCTGGAGTAATTTTCGAGGTTTTGACTTAGAATCATCCAGAAGAGACAACTATCGCAATTAGGTTCTATGATAGCGTATTCAGTTGTGATCTATTAACTGACAAGTGGCTCCTAAATGACAGAGAAAAAAAAAACTTTAAGCGTACCTGAACCCCCACTCTGGCAGTCATACAGCCTCATTGTACGAGTTTTCTGAATTGAATTTGCTGGGAAATCGACAGCCTGCGACCTGCGCTGACCTTAGCTCTCAAATGGTTCGTTCGCATCTTCCACTACCTGACTTCATTCTATACGAGGCAAAACGAAAAACATTGGTACAGATGTCGTAGCAGAAAATAGCTCTCGGAAATTTTGTGCACAAAATTAGGATTACGGTAACTAATGCATGACAAACGAACTTGCATTACTGAACTTGTAGCACTGGTGTATTTGAGTGACGCTAACATAACAGTTGCCTTGCGTGTTGTGCTGCTGCTGATTGCTTGTTTCCAATAAAGCTCTTCATGGAAAGTGGGACGATTCTTGAGCTAGCAAAAGCAACCGGTAGTCCCAGGTCGATCAAATGAAATCGTCCTATGACGCAGGCAGCAGGCGCGGTAATCAGCTGTGTCAGTAGTAGTATTGTAGCGTGAAAACGCAAAATCACAAAAGGACACGCGTCTGTGATCGCTTTACCTCGCACATTAACGTGACGAAAATAGAATACGCTCTGCGACTGCGGGCTTAATGCTGCCTTAATGCTATCAAGTGCGCTACGGCTTCACAGATCACCTGGTCGCGAAAATTGTCTTTGAATGCCGCGAGATTTGTCTTTTAATGCAAACATGTTGTCCTCTCCTTAGCTAAGCGGTTTAGAGTAGCTGCTTCCGAACTCTTTTATCTGATTTAGGAACACGAACACTCATCGATAACCTTGATACTGGTCTTTCTGCTATTTCAATAACTGCGAAGTATAATGGCTTTGGTGATTGCTTACGGTCGGTACTGCAACACGAGGGATTCTGGGCGCTATACAGTGTACGTGATTGATTAGACTGCCTTCATACTTTGCAAATGTAAAGAATCGGCACTATTTACCCTTTATCCGTGCCCCCAACCATCCAGAACTGAGACCCAGTTCTGATCGACTTTGTTCCCGTTGACAGAACTTGGCTCCAAGATGTTTTGTAAACTGGGGTAATTTTTGACGCTCCTGAAACGATATTGGCATTCGCTATTGCCCGAATTCTGGGCGGCCGCCGCCACACGCGCCGGTGATCCTGGAGTATTTGGCGGCCAGCACCTGTCCGGCGGACAGCGGAGGTTTCAGGCGGCAAGCGATGTGATATTCATGTTCAGGAGGTCAAACTACCCAACTACCCTAGGGTACAAATTTTCAGCCAATTCTTCCAACGCAGAAAAAAGTCCGTCAAAAGAGGCCTGTTTTCGGAAGATTGGGGGCAGTAAAGGGTAAATAGTCTGCAGTTTTAGATAATCTGCCATTCAAGAAAATGCGCTATTCTGGACACTTACGGCAAAAGATCAACTGAAAATCACATCCTTTGCCCACTTGCATTTTTGGAGAACCCGGGATTTGCTGGTGTGCGTGGTCACTGAATTCCCGTTCAATTTTGTGTCGCCCATTTACTGAAATGGCCCTTTCTTCGCATCTTATTTATGGTCACAGTGTCAGTTGCCTGAAACTTCCACTTTAACGATTTTTCAGGGCGTTGGAGCTTTGGCGTTAGAGTATCTTCTCCACTCGTTGCTCCATCAAGCTGTACGTGCCTGTTTCGATAGAGGATCAGAGGTACACTACTACTGGTCATTTTCCCCCCCCCCCCGAACATAAAAATCAGTGCTATCCTATCGCTTTTCGGTTTCAGCCATCTTTCGAAAAATTGATTTTTCCCTCATCAGATAACTCGCGTTTCAGGTGCTTCGTCGAGCAACTGAAAGCAATCCGAATATCACGCCAGTACCTCCCGCTTATGGAGGTTAATATTACGTTCATTCATTCCAAATCTACGCATTACCCAGACTATTTTAGGAGCATTTTCTGGACCACTGAGATCATCAGGACCGCTTTCTGGTCCATTCACTCAGCCTGCTTCGCCAGTGATAAGTCCAAGAAAGTGAGTTTATAAACACTTTCTCATCTGGCGTTGGTATTGCCTGGCTCACTCGATAAAAGAAGTTTTGGCAGATACCGGTGCACACGCGCTGATTTATAAACACGAGTAACAATAAGTTTGTCCAAAAAGATTGTCGACATGATATGTTTCCGAGCATGTATGGTTGCATTCATTGACCTGCCTTCCGCAAGTTTTGATATGAGTGTGTACGTGTACCGTGTTTGGGTGGATTTTTCTTCAGCGCCGTGTACTATGCTCGAAAGGTGTGTCGTGCTCCCGGGAGTCAGTTATGGAGGAGGCAGTAGAGTGCTTTTGACTCAGTGTGCAGACCTCGTCGAATCTGCGGCCGGAAACGTTTCGGGTTCTGTGGCAGCCTTTTCTATCCTACAACATGGAGGAGGAGAAATCACGGCCCGATCTAATTCGTAGCGCGCACGCTAATTTGTTCCCAGATGCATGCAGCTGGCTGATGGAGGCTTTGCTCGAGCAGATTCAGTGACTATCACAGTTCAATATGGATATCTCTTTTTTGCGGCGACATGACTTGCGAGTTCGCTCCTCTGCGCTTCGCCGATGCTCTTGTTGTCTTTGCTCTTTTGATATTGAGCGTTGGAGAAAAATCGTTTGAAGTGCGTTCTGCACCGCCGCGTGGCCCCAACAGCCTCAGTAGTGCCCCTTTTTCGTGTTCAAAGGATAGAGGTTGCGTTACGTGTACGTGTTACGCCATAACATATATGTATCACGTTCCATCAGCAAACATCGCCCTTCGATTACTGTTTTCTGAGAATTCGGATATCCCGCGTTTGAGTCTCGCCAGATTTGACGCTCTCTGTGCATAGCTGTGACTGAAGCGAAGAAGTTCTACATTGCATGTTGGATTTCATCTCCAGCAAGCTACTTTTTATTGCTGATATAGTCAGTGAACACGTGGAAATTTCCATTTCTTCCCAATACTGCTGAGCTGCAAAGGATCAAGATTTTCCTGTTTAAATTGCTATGCCACTCAGGTTTTTAGTGTGGAAATCTTTATTTACGGCCTAACGTTTCGACTTGGTCGTCTTCTTCAGAGGCCAAGCTTCCACCCTATATCCGCAGTCACATGCGGCTAGTAGTCAGTAGAGAACTAGTGATACTAGCCGCCATGTGACTGCGGATATACGTGAATGCTTGTGCCTCTGAGAAAGCGACCAAGTCGAAACGCTTAGAGTAAAATAAAGATTTCCACCTAAAAACCTCGAGTGACATAGCAATTTAAACAGAATAATCAACGATCCCGAGGTTACATCAAGAGAGAACTTGGAGAATATTCGATCAAGATTTTATCAGCTGCTGAATCTGTTTCTGTAACTCTGATTTTGCTGCTTGACTTCTTGGTATTACTGGTTCTGATGTCTGGCTGCGTTTATACGTTGCCACCTCAGCGATTTTGAAGTCAGGGACTAGGAATTGCGAGTTAGGAACAAATCTCAAGGTCTTATTAGCTGCAGAATCTGTCCCTCCATGGCATGGTAACGTTTGAGTGCGTTCCCCCTCTGGCATTCCACGATTCTGTGCTTGGGAATCGCGCGACTGCGATTGGACGTTGCACCGCCAAAGCTGTTTCATAATTTTCATAATGAAAAATGCGCGTACTGGATGTATCACTAGTGGGTTGGAGGGTGTGTAGGTCGATTGTTCCAACCCGTTAGCGCTTTGGGAAAATACCAATTTCTGAAAAACACGAATTCTGCCCGATTCACACTTGACCCCTGATCGTGCACCGCGAGATTAAATCGATTGTTTTGCGAATTGCTGTAAAGGTCAAATGAACCTATTACAAGTTACAAGGCTTGGATAATGACAAAAGATTACCCGTCCGCAAAATTACACGCGGGAATTCGCTAAGATGTGTAATCATGCTGGCCAGCCTATTCTTTTACCGTGGAACCCAATCCAAGGTGGAATTGTCTTCATTCACAGCTCAGCAGTGTTGGGAGAACGTGTATTTTGTACCGGGTGCTAGCGCTATAAGCTTCAGCACAAGGTACTATTTGAATACGGCTTGTGCAAGGCTTCACCAATGCTGTGTGTTGTGCAGGCAGCCTTCATCGTATACGCCTCCACTTCGTGATCCTACACAGTTTCCAACATTTGGTGAATCCATCTCTCAATTGGACTCGCCTCATAATGTTCCAACACCGCCATTTCCTTTCCAGTCAGGTCGTCCCAACATTTTTGGTAGTCCATCAAGGTAAGCGCTATTGTTGGGTTTGTTTTGCATTTGTTGTTTATCATCAAAAGATTTCATCACTCGGTGTCGTGCTCAATGAAATGATGACAGTGCATGTCAGCGAACTGCCATTCCGTTCCCTTTACGCAAGCATTCGCGCTTTGCTGTGATTGCACGGGTTATTCTCTTTACCTTTCTTGAATATACCACCAGTGGTCAATAGTGAATAATGTACATTTTTTCACAACTCTGCCCATTCAGCAAAAGATGGCTGGTAGTACACTTCTCTTCACTCATCTCTCTCGATCATTTCTTCGTGAACAGGACCTTTCCAAAATTTGACTTTTCAGACTTTTACGGCTGAAAGTAGCCACCAGTGAGCCTATGATTAGTTCTTTCACATCTGCTTTAGACAGACATCTCAAACCTTCTCTCTATGTTCTTATCTTCCGGATAGGAGATTTACATTTATTCATTCGCTTTCGTTACTTATGTTGCCTTGTACTGTGTATCTATATATGCACCTTACCGGTTCCAGAAATTTGATTGACGGAAACACTGTTATGTCAAAAAGATGAAACTGAAGAGTACCGCGCAGTAAGGGCAAAGACACCCCGACCTTCCCGTTGGACAAACTCGCTTTATAAGCGACTCTAGATTACACGAAAACAGATCACTGAGCGTGTGGCACCTGGCCTACTCATACAATTGGGTGATTCGCTCTGAGATCGCATGAAGTACCAGTACCAGAGGAGTGCGCAAATGGGGAGAATAAGTTGTCAGGTAGTTCAGAACATATTTTCGAGGGCACTTACATCTTTCATCTCGAAAATCGTCTGCCGGATCTATGCGACCGTCTTGGGCCTTTGACTGCAAAAACGCATTTCGATTCTGTATAAATGGCATAACGCAGCCTGAAAATAATAACATTAAAGGATATGTCCAGCAAGAGTAACTTTCTCAAATTTTCATCATTGAGCATTTAATTATTAAGAAGTTGACCTCGCCCGACGATGAAAGTTTTGTTAGCCGTCTAAAAGGGAAAAAAGAAGTCGAAATGAAATACTAACCATGAGGTAAACAGGTAGGCGTTACGATGTGGTGTATCCAATTAGCTAAGCACACTCTTGCTAGCTGCGAATGCTGGGGCGTGTCGGGAGGGGGGAGGGGCGGTATGTTTGGCGGGGTGACAACGCGTTTCCACCAAATATTGAAGCGGGCAGCCGAGGAATATTAGTGAAGAAAGGGTTGGTGCCGCGCCAACCAGCCTCCTCGACAGGCCCCAGCATCCGCGGGGAAGCAGGACTGTACTTATGCGCTTATTGCAAGTGTCTACTTTGAGTTCAGTCGTGATAATGCCTAGTAATGGCTAAACTCGACGTGGCAAGAGATACGCGCTGACAACTCCGGTATCTCAAAATGCAGGGGCAGCAGCACAACATTGTGAAGCAGACAATTTATGAATGTCGTTTGGAAGACACACAAAAAAATAAGAAAGGGCAAAGCTAGGAATAATTGTTCGGCGAAAGGACTGTCAGATACGGTCAAAGAAATAAACGGGCTGAATGTAGTCGATAAAGTGATGGTTCTGGCAAAAGCAAGCACGAGAAGATGAAACCCGGAGTAGCTAGGAAATAGACTTGTACAGCGCTCATGCAGAATCGAGCCCACTACTTGAATGCTAAGACAGCACGGTGCTATTGTCACCTGGACCTTTCTAGCGCAGAAGCTACCGCCGAACTTGCACCCAACATGCCCCACATGAGACACCGCTTGAAACAACATGTTTTTCACCAGCAATGCCCAAGGTCATCATGACTCCGGCTGCGAAACTAACGCCGTTATCGGACTCAGATTATCGTTTGAACGTTTATCATCCGCTGATGCCACATCACTGAGCCTGATGGCCATTAGCATTGAAGAGAACCAACATTTCTAATGAAATGATGAAATGGGAAAAGTTCTCCAATTCACCAGCTACATCCTTCACGAAAAAAAACAGCAAGTAATCATAATGTCGCACTGCTCCGTTCTTAGTTTTGTTCATCCTTAAAAAACTCAACAGAGCTTGAAAACAACGGAAGTCAGGTAAAAACTAAAGAATGTCAGCCACCACAAAAATTTAAAACCGTCAGACGTGAAGGGGTTTTCGGAAGTGTTTTGACCGCAGTCGCGAACAAAGCGCATAATGCGCGGCGCCACAAATTAGAGTGCAGGTTTGCCAACATGGCCGAGGTTCTTCATAATAAAGTGAGGTAATTCGAGACGGTGTTCATGTCAGGGAGCATCGAATGTTTCAATTGTAAAATTTGAACCGCAAGAGGGATTCTGAGAAAGTTGGACGTTAAGCCTATTCTGGAAGTGTTTGGACCGCAGAAGCAAACAAAACATTTGACTTGCCGCCAGATATTGGGATACAGCTTTCAGATATCATATGTATGTGCTGACGTCATGTTTTTATCTCATCTCGTTTCGTGTCGAAAGTTTTTTTCGCTGACTTGAACTCTTTGCTACGAACGAAGTCCAATACCGCGTCAATGATTACTGTTATAATTGAGCTCGCTGATGCTGTCGAAAAGTTGAACGTGAGGATGGCCGATGAGTTTCTTACACTCTTGCTTATTAGTTTATTCTTTCCCTTTACACTCAGAGTTGTTCATTTCAAGAAATCATCTGAAAATTGAACAGCTGAAAAAAGAACAAGCCATATGGGCCCGAGAAATTAAGAGAGAGAACTTGACACTGTTTGAACAGGTTGTTTCCCCTTCGAGAATGTGGTAAATCTCTAACTGAAGTGCTTTTCTTTTCCCAAAATGCTAGGGACGTGATTAAACTTAATTCATCACAAAAAATTACAGAAAAAAGTGCCACGTAGAAACCGCAAACAGGGAACTACTGGTATAGATCTGGATAATCACATACCGGCGATTTTCTGATTACCGATTGATATTTATCTGGCCTTTGACGGCTCCGCGATACCCTCGATTATAACTACAGTCTCCGAGGTATGAACGGGTCCTAGTGAAGAACGACGCTTAGTTCGTTCTTACCACTGAAGTAATTGATCTACGAGGAATATCTGAAGTAATTCATCCACGAGGAATATTTCATCGAGCCAAAGAGATTGCATACTGGCAGGCCATGACTGTAGGCTAACGTTCACAGAACCAAATGCCATGGGGAGATATTACATCTTTGTTCACGCCCCAATCGGAAACTTTCCGATTCTCCAGAACTGCATTCTTTTAGATGACAACATTTGCACATTAGGATCACCTTCGTTTACACAAAAATCCTTCGTTTTGACTCCGAAACTCCGTCAAAAACTACATTTTGCTTCTGCTAACTCGTCGGTGTTATCTTTTTGCTCTTTGTGCTCTTCTCAAACTGCCAATCCATTTGATCGTAATATCTCATAATTTTTCTGTCGGAATTCCTTCACGCATTGGTGCTGCTTGGAGGATTCCTCACTTCCGAATTTCTCATCTGCACCACCTTCTCTTCCCATGAGTCAAACTCCGCTTGGATATTTTGCGACACTGGGAAACAGAATGTGCGTCAGTGGATCAAATCGCCACGTCACCTCAAAATATGGAATTTGAATAAAACATAACCCGAGAGAGACAGTTTCGTTCTTGAATAAGGATATGACGGTGACGTAGTGCGAAAACGCCCAGTTCATGCGCTAAGGATGCCGGCGCCAAGACGGGTCTACGGCTTTAGTGTCTGTGGTTCGAGCGCCTGGCTTTCGCCTCTTTTCAGCTTTCAGCCCATATTCCGCTTTTCGCATGTGGTAATTCGTGTTCACGATGCCGTGCTATCTACGGGAGTGAACTCTTAACCAAAAACATTTTCTATGAAATAACTCGATCAGGACGTGACCTGGAGTGAAATAGTCTGCCCAGCTTTTGCCAACCTAAAACATTTGAAATGAGTTTATACCTTCACCAGAATTTGTGGTTATAATTAGATTAACAATAAGATTACTGGATTGAAGGTAGTGGCAATAGGCTCAGTATGACTCGCATGTTGTTCTGTGAGAATCTTCAGAACTGTAAAATATTTTTTTCGTAACCGCACAAGGTGAAAAGTTTGGTCGCCAGTTCATGCTGAATTGTTTTATCGGATTTTGGTCTCTAGAGAGAATTGGAGTCGCCGATTAAACTCTGTTTTGTCGTCACAGTTCTCGCCAGAGTATGATGGAATGCTGTTTATTCCCACCGCCGTTATTTGTTCCACTCTGTTAGAGCGACATTTTTTTCTTTTCAGCATAAACTCGCGTGGTCTTAGGGTTGCTATTCTCTACTACCTCCTTTTCCACCATTATCCTATTCGTCCATAGCGCTTTTCATTTTCACACCATGTGAATTACACCATGTTTTCTTATTTTTCTACTTTGAGCGAGCTGCACTTGATTGCCCTTCCAACTCTGCTAAGTGCTTTCCACGTGATGGGCCCTTGGTTGAGCATCTTACGATACGAGGGAATGATTTGAACTTACCCATGGAACTTTGAATGGAGACCTAGGTACATCGATAGTGTTGGATAGGTCAAGGCGATGGTGGC